AGAATTCAGAGAATTCAGAGAATTCAGAGAATTCAGAGAATTTAGAGAATTTAGAGAATTTAGAGAATTGAGAGAATTTAGAGAATTGAGAGAATTTAGAGGATTTAGAGAATTTAGAGAATTTAGAGAATTAGAGAATTTAGAGAATTTAGAGAATTTAGAGAATTTAGAGAATTTAGAGAATTTAGAGAATTTAGAGAATTTCGAGAATTTCGAGAATTTCGAGAATTTATAGAATTTAGAGAATTTCGAGAATTTCAAGATCTTCAAGAATTTCTGAAATTTTGAGAATTTCGAGAATTTTGAGAATCTGGGAAATTTTGAAAATTTTGAAATTCTGAGGATATTGAAAATACTGAGAATTTTTAGTACTTTGATCATTTTAGAATTTGTGAAATCCTAGATAATTTTGAAAATGTAGAAAATTTAGGCCTTGATATTTTGAGAACCGAATATTTTGGATATTCAAAAATTTCATAAATTTTGATATTTCAATAATTGTGAGGGCGGAAATTTTTAAAAATCAAGAAAACTTGAACCTAAAAATTATGGAAATCTTGAAAATTCGACATTATCCATGTTCGAAGCTGCTAAGAGGAGAACTGTCCGACTGATCGATGACTCTTCTCTAGCAGGCGGGCCGTCGGCGGTCTAGCTCTCTTCCACCGCTACACCAACGGGCATTGCTCCTCAGAGCTCTCGTCCATGGTGCCGCCACGCGATGGGACTGGTGGACGGAACGGCAGACTTCCGCATCCCATCCTTACCGTGTCGAACTTCATACATCTACAACTGGCCGATACGACCGCTCCTTTACCCAAGAGTGTCGAGATACTCTTCTCTTTTGATAAATCAAGTACCATTATTTATTCTATAGATGATACAATACTGTTTCGGTATTCCTTTAACTGTAGCGTTCGATGTTAACTAAAGAATCTTTTGAATTTTTCTTACATCATATAAATCCATCGTAATAAATTCAAATTAATATAAGAATTTTCAGTTAATACTTCTAACCACATAAAATTTTAATTGATTTGAATTTCCTGATAAATTTTATGTGTTTATAAGGAGGTAATCAAAATCACTTCTGCCGATACAGAATTCCCACAGCTATCTCTTTATGAAAATTAGAAATCGTAAAAGTCTTTAATAACTTCCTTCCCTGACATTTAATACGCTTGAGTATTTTGGATCACTGAATACGTTTGTTGCGACCGAAAAATCGTGAGCTCTCGTATCAGATAAAGGATGGCTCGCTTGACATCCCTTGTTGTTGCAACGTCAAATTGACGTCAGACGCACAATCTTGGCAAAGCAAATCAGCTCTTTTGCGCAAGCTTTGTAGACGTACCCTCCGTCGCAATTGACGAAATTTGAAAATCTGAGATTTCTGAGTTTTGAGAATTTTGTGAACTTATGAAGACTTGGGAGAATTTAGAAAATTTTAAAAATTTAGAGAATTTAGAGAATTTAGAGAATTTAGAGAATTTAGAGAATTTTGAGAATTTAGAGAATTTAGAGAATTTAGAGAATTTAGAGAATTTAGAGAATTTAGAGAATTTAGAGAATTTAGAGAATTTAGAGAATTTAGAGAATTTAGAGAATTTAGAGAATTTAGAGAATTTAGAGAATTTAGAGAATTTAGAGAATTTAGAGAATTTAGAGAATTTAGAGAATTTAGAGAATTTAGAGAATTTAGAGAATTTAGAGAATTTAGAGAATTTAGAGAATTTAGAGAATTTAGAGAATTTAGAGATTTAGAGAATTTGCGAATTTAGAGAATTTATAGAATTTAGAGAATTTCGAGAATTTCAAGATCTTCAAGAATTTCTGAAATTTTGAGAATTTCGAGAATTTTGAGAATCTGGGAAATTTTGAAAATTTTGAAATTCTGAGGATATTGAAAATACTGAGAATTTTTAGTACTTTGATCATTTTAGAATTTGTGAAATCCTTGATAATTTTGAAAATGTAGAAAATTTAGGCCTTGATATTTGAGAACCGAATATTTTGGATATTCAAAAATTCATAAATTTGATATTTCATAATTGTGAGGGCGGACATTTTTAAAAATCAAGAAACTTGAACCTAAAAATTTTGGAAATCTTGAAAATTCGACATTATCCATGTTCGAAGCTGCTAAGAGGAGAACTGTCCGACTGATCGATGACTCTTCTCTAGCAGGCGGGCCGTCGGCGGTCTAGCTCTCTTCCACCGCTACACCAACGGGCATTGCTCCTCAGAGCTCTCGTCCATGGTGCCGCCACGCGATGGGACTGGTGGACGGAACGGCAGACTTCCGCATCCCATCCTTACCGTGTCGAACTTCATACATCCACAACTGGCCGATACGACCGCTCCTTTACCCAAGAGTGTCGAGATACTCTTCTCTTTTGATAAATCAAGTACCATTATTTATTCTATAGATGATACAATACTGTTTCGGTATTCCTTTAACTGTAGCGTTCGATGTTAACTAAAGAATCTTTTGAATTTTTCTTACATCATATAAATCCATCGTAATAAATTCAAATTAATATAAGAATTTTCAGTTAATACTTCTAACCACATAAAATTTTAATTGATTTGAATTTCCTGAAAAATTTTATGTGTTTATAAGGAGGTAATCAAAATCACTTCTGCCGATACAGAATTCCCACAGCTATCTCTTTATGAAAATTAGAAATCGTAAAAGTCTTTAATAACTTCCTTCCCTGATATTTAATACGCTTGAGTATTTTGGATCACTGAATACGTTTGTTGCGACCGAAAAATCGTGAGCTCTCGTATCAGATAAAGGATGGCTCGCTTGACATCCCTTGTTACTGCAAAGTCAAATTGACGTCAGACTCACAATCTTGGCAAAGCAAATCATCTCTTTTGCGCAAGCTTTGTAGATGGGTGGCTGACGTACCCTCTGCCTGCAAGATATCCGTCGCAATAGACGAAATTTTGAAAATCTGAGATTTCTGAGTTTTGAAAATTTTGAGAAGTTTGAGAACGTTGAGAACGTTGAGAATTTAGAGAATTTAGAGAAATTAGAGAATTTAGAAAATTTAGAGAATTTAGAGATTTAGAGAATTTAGAGAATTTAGAGAATTTAGAGAATTTAGAGAATTTAGAGATTTAGAGAATTTAGAGAATTAGAGAATTTAGAGAATTTAGAGAATTTAGAGAATTTAGAGAATTTAGAGAATTTAGAGAATTTAGGAGAATTAGAGAATTTAGAGAATTTAGAGAATTTAGAGAATTTAGAGAATTTAGAGAATTTAGAGAATTTAGAGAATTTAGAGAATTAGAGAATTTAGAGAATTTAGAGAATTAGAGAATTTAGAGAATTTAGAGAATTTAGAGAATTTAGAGAATTTAGAGAATTTAGAGAATTTAGAGAATTTAGAGAATTTAGAGAATTTAGAGAATTTAGAGAATTTAGAGAATTTAGAGAATTTAGAGAATTAGAGAATTTAGAGAATTTAGAGAATTTAGAGAATTTAGAGAATTTAGAGAATTTAGAGAATTTAGAGATTTAGAGAATTTAGAGAATTTAGAGAATTTAGAGAATTTAGAGAATTTAGAGAATTTAGAGAATTTAGAGAATTTAGAGAATTTAGAGAATTTAGAGAATTTAGAGAATTTAGAGAATTTAGAGAATTTAGAGAATTCAGAGAATTCAGAGAATTCAGAGAATTCAGAGAACTTAGAGAACTTAGAGAATTCAGAGAATTTAGAGAATTTAGAGAATTTAGTGAATTGAGAGAATTTAGAGAATTTAGAGAATTCGGAGAATTCAGAGAATTCAGAGAATTCAGAGAATTTAGAGAATTTAGAGAATTTAGAGAATTTAGAGAATTTAGAGAATTTAGAGAATTTAGAGAATTTAGAGAATTTAGAGAATTTAGAGAATTTAGAGAATTTAGAGCATTTAGAGAATTTAGAGAATTTAGAGAATTTAGAGAATTTAGAGAATTTAGAGAATTTAGAGAATTTAGAGAATTTAGAGAATTTAGAGAATTTAAAGAATTTAGCGAATTTAGAGAATTTAGAGAATTTAGAGAATTTAGGCAATATAGAGAATTTAGAGAATTTCAAGAGCTTCGAGAATTTCAGAAATTTCGAGAATTTTGAGGATCTGGGAAATTTTGAAATTCTGAGGATATTGAAAATACTGAGAATTTTTAGTACTTTGATCATTTTAGAATTTGTGAAATGCTTGATAATTTTGAAAATGTAGAAAATTTAGGCTTTGATATTTTGAGAACCGAATATTTTGGATATTCAAAAATTTCATAAATTTTGATATTTCAATAATTGTGAGGGCGGAAATTTTTGAAAATCAAGAAAACTTGACCCTAAAAATTTTGGAAATCTTGAAAATTCGACATTATCCATGTTCGAAGCTGCTAGGAGGTGAACTGTCCGACTGATCGATGACTCTCCTCTAGCAGGCGGGCCGTCGGCGATCTAGCTCTCTTCCACCGCTACACCAACGGGCGTTGCTCCACAGAGCTCTCCTCGATGGTGCCGCCACGCGATGGGACTGGTGGACGGAACCGCAGACTTCCGCATCCCATCCTTACCGTGTCGAACTTCATACATCCACAACTGGCCGATACGACCGCTCCTTTACCCAAGAGTGTCGAGATTGTGAAACAATCTAGAGGAGGAGGCTTTTCCCAGACAGCTCAAAGAATTTCTTTAGTATCCTCACAGCAGCCACGGTGTCCTCTCATTTAGGCTTCTGCCAGCGCATCTGCTTTGGTGAAAAAAAAATCTGAAACCTAGCCTCCTCAAAATTTAAAGAACCATCCATAAATGCACTAATTATTGAATTTTGGTATATTTAGCTTCTGTTTTGTTGTGATTCAATATTTCAGCACGCATCTTCCACACTACAATGTGTTGCATTACGTCTCACTAGTAAAGTGTCATGCGTCATTGTATGCTATATTCCGTCATGTTGAGTAGCGCTGGTCCTAACCGTATTTTTCTTTTGTTTCAGTCGTTCTTTGGCCGCACGTACAACAACATCAGCTCAATATCAGAATGCAAGAACAACGGCGAATGCGTAATCAACAAGAAGAACCGCACTGCGTGCAAAGCCTGCCGACTGAGGAAATGCTTGTTGGTAGGCATGTCCAAGAGCGGAAGTCGATACGGCAGACGGTCAAACTGGTTCAAAATCCATTGCTTGCTGCAGGAAAGGTCGCAGCAACAGCAACAGCAAATCGGATTGGCTATTGGACCGCCTCAAGCAGCGCCGCCTGTTGGGTTAATCAGGCCCCATCCATATCTCAGCCCGCTCTTTGCAACGCCTACCACGACAGGACCTATGGTGAGTTCTGTATCTCAATGTCGTTTCAAGGTCAAGTGGAAAAAAGTCAGAATAGTCAAGGTCAACCATCCGTTAACCGGGTGATCCTCCAAGGTGACTCATCCCTATAACCCCCTTATTATTGAAGATAAATTTACATTTTTTCACATATTCACTTGCTTTGGCGTACTTCCGGTTTGACCGGAAACGACACAAACTTCAGACTTTTAAAAGGGACATCCTAGATATTTTCACTTATTTCGATCGAGAATGCCATTTTGAACCCGACAACGTCTCACTTATCAATACTTGACAAATAAAATAATGTTTATTTCATATTTACTCTATGATCTAGAATGTCATGGATCCTGTAAATCGCTTCATTTTTGACCAAGTAACACGGGAAAAATACGATTTTGAGGCGAACGTTTCAAAGATTTTCTAAAAGTTACAAAGACGAATGTTTACCTGATTTTTTCAAATAGAAAAGGGGTGGCTCGAAGGCTTCTTCTAAGAGACCGCTTTCTTACGAATAGTTTGACACTACCCACTCTTATTTTATTTTCACTATTTTTCTGAATAATTGTAAGAAACGATCGTACCTAACAACGAATAATACGTATCTGCATTCGGTATACCTATGCACGAAGTAATGTTATTCTAGTTATCGCTGACAAACAACTGAAGGTGGCATTTATAGTTGTTCAGGTACAAATTGAAAATATTTGCCAAAAAAGTATTTGCCGTTGGAGGTTTACACAATCTTCCAGCTAGAAACAGATGTGTAAAGCTTCAGGTCATCGGCAAACGTGAATTGCATCGCAACAAAGATCGTTGACGTATAAGGGTACCCAAATCGGAGCCTTGTGGGACACCACTACTGAAACGATTAAGATTAAAACCGTCGTTCTTTTCAGTTCCGTGACGCATCCAGCCGCACATCAGAATCCGACAGCGGCGCCTCTTCAGCCGATCCCGAAGACGACGTCCGCTCTACCAGCACTTTAGGCTACCTAAAACCCTCCATCTCTCCAGGTAGCGACTACTACGCCCCCAAAAAGCCATCCCCCTCTCCAGGCAGTGACTACTACGCCCCTAAGAAACCTTCCCCCTCCCCTAGTAGCGATTACTATCCCTCCAAAAAGCTGTCCCCCTCCAGCGACAGCGAGTTCTTCACGCGGAAGAGACCGAAAGTGCCGCCTTCTCCAGCGTCTCTGCCTTCGGTGTCGCCCAGCGGGGTGGTGCCGAAATGGTTGACGCCCATTGTGGGGATCGGCGATCCTGCGGCCTGGAGGGATACGTGGACCAAGGTGAGTCGGTACTTTAATAGATTTAGCAATCATTTCAGTGATGAGTTGATTAGTTAGTTGAGCTGGTATCCACATTAACATGCTGCTTTACTTTCTGCCCGAATTGCGTTGATTTTTACATGTGGTCCCAAGTGTGATCTTTTTTACAGGGTTTTTGTTACTTGAAGTAGTATACTGAATTCGTTACGTTGAAATTATAGTAGTGTTGATAATTGCTTTATAGTCAGCAACTTAAGAAGTCCCCAGAATATAAACCTTCAATTTACCTTATGTTAGATTCCTTGGAACTATTCTGGGATCAGCTGCACTGTAGGTCGACAGGATGTGCGGACACGCCGTTGAGTGCAACAGAAGCTCTGTTGGATCTACCACCATTGCATCTAGTGATCCGAGAAGGGGCCCCTGTCAAGGGTCACATTGTCATCTTAGCAGGGGTGATATCGCTTTAATCGCAAGTTGAATGTGGAGTATCTAAAGAGCGCGGAGCGGGATTCCGGAAGCGGGAAGGTCTCCGAAGGGAGTGGGCAGGTCTGGTACACGGACGACCCCGATCCTGAAGGTGGCTGTGGCACAGGGGTCTTTGGGTCTAGAACTAGGCTGTCACTACCTCTCGGCGGATACACCATTATTTTCCAGGCGGAATTCTATGCAACTCTGGCTTGAGTATCCCGCATTTTGGAGGGCAAGGGCCTAGGAGAAGAATAACAATCTTCTCCGTCAGATAGGCTGCGATGAAGGCACTAGGTGCCTATAAGATTACGTCGAGCCTTGCATTGCAATGTAAGGAGGTTCAGGATTGCTTAGCAGCGAGGCATCAGGTATCGTTAGAGTGGGTATCGGGGCACGCTGGGATAAAGGGTAATGCTATGGCGGACGCTCTTGCGGGAGCAGTACTGGCAGGCAAGCTTCTTGGTCCTGAGCCCGCCCTAGGGGTGCCCGCGCAAAGAGTCAGGAGGAAAGTGGATTGCTAGACGACACTATATGAAATGGAGAAGCATCTCTAGATATTTCCGTCAGGCATGGGAACTTATCGTACGGCCCATTGCTAAGGAAGGATACTTTTGCTTATCTATGGATAGAGGCAACCTTAGGTTCCTGGTGGGACATAACACGATGAGGCGTCACCTGCATCTTACGGGGTGGCTGAACGGTAGACGAAGAGTCCTCGGCCCATGTTCTGTGACGCTGTGAAGCTTTGAGTTACTACAGGCAGACTATACTGCGGTTCTAAAACTTTGGATTCCTAAAATGTTAAGGAGCTGGGGTTAAGGGCTATACTCAACTTTGCTAGAAGGGCGGAGCTCGAGGCTTAGGGAATGTAGGGGGTGCAGAAGTTTGCGCTTATGCGGCTCATGTACCGGCTCCTCATGGTGGTCGGTATGCCTGTTTATTCGTTCATTGTTTCAAGTCGAGGGGATCAATATTTAAACAGGATTTTTTCAAAAATTTTCTCAAAAAGGGTTCATTTATTTATCCTTTTCAGGTTGTGGCAGCGACACCTGCACCCGATCAAGATCAGCCCATCGACCTCTCGGTCAAAAAAGAAACGACGACTAGTAAAGACGAGGTTAGGGACGAAGTCAAAAGTGAGGAAGATGGAGTGTTAGATCTGACTCTAGGTAGACAGACGATCGATGTAGATGGTGCTAGTAAAGGATAATTGTTAATTTTTTTAGCTCAGTGACTTGTTATGATCAAGTGCAAAAAATTATGCGTGTTTTGCCAGTTTGTGTCTATAAAGGTGTTGATTCTATTTCACGACTGTGTGTGACTATGTAACGTGATTATTCCCAGTTTCCGAATGTTCAAAATATTTTATTGACGAACGACGTACAAGGTATTCTGGAAGTTAGGTTTAGGAACAATCACGCTTAAAATAACAAAGTAAAACTGCGCTGAAAAATTTAAAAATGACGAGAAGCACTCACAATTTTTTGGCTTCTTTAATTTGCAACATGCGGGGCTGTGTGGAGGTCACATTTAGGAACGTTCTTTGAGGATTGAGTGTCAATCGAGGTTTCAAACACAATAACGCTTCCTAGAAAAACGTTCAAGGGAGGATTCAACGTTTGCATTCTTAATAGGATGTAAGAGTTGTCACCAACGGATTTCAAAATTTAAAACGTTTTTAAAATTTTCTAAACTTACACGATTTTTACTATTTTTAGTATTTTTTAAATTAAAGTTTTCATGATTTCAAGATCTTTTTTCTTTATAGACAAAATTTTTAACATTTCTAAGATTTTCAAATTTTTCAGAACTTTGAAAATTTTCAATTTTTGAACTTTTCAAGATTTTCAAAATTTTAAGAATTTTGAGGATTTTGAAAATTTTCAAAATTTAGATTTTCAAAATTTCTAAAACCCTCGAATTTTTCAAAATTTTCAATATTGTTCAAGCTTTCAAACTTCTCAAGATATCTAAAATTTGGGAATATCCAAGCTTTTGTTAATTTCAAAATTGAAAAGTTTTCCAAATTTTTAAGATTCGCATGTTTATAAATTATGAAAATTCCCAAGGTTTTGAAAATTTTCAAGTTTTTGAATATTTGAATATTTTCGAGTAGGTACATTTTTTAGATATTGGTAGTTTTGGAAATTTTCAAATTTTTCTGAATTTTATAAACTTTAAAAATTTTCAAACATTTCAAACTTTTCAAAATTGTTTTAGCTTTCACAGTTCTCGAGATATCTAAAATGTTGGAATATTCAAGCACTTAATCAAAATCTTGAAAAGTTTAAAAAAATTTCCAAATTTGCACCTTGATAAATTCTGAAAATTTCAAAGCTTTAGAAAATGTTTTAAATATTTGAAAATTTTCGAAATACGAACATTTTTTAAGATTTTGGTAGTTTTGGAAATTTTGAAAATGCTGAAATTGGAGCAAATTTTGAAAATTTTCGAACTTTTGTTACAGTCACCTGTGAACTGCACATTTTTAATTATCACTTGAATAATACTCACGGAAACGTTATAGTTAATTAATGATCCGGAGAGGAAATATGTTTTAAACTGCACTCAAACTTCAAGCAACGTTTATAAATATTCATATAAACGGCTTTTGTACTGAATAAACAAGCCTACGCTGTTCGGGATGCAAACATCCAGGAAATCGGAAATTTGAAAAATTTTTAAATTTCAAAACCAGAAGTTTTAAAATTTTCATCTTGATAAGATTTTGAGAGTTTTGAAGTTTTTCAAAACTTTGAAATTTTCAAGGTGTAAAAATTTTTGAAATTTTTGTAGTTTTGAAAATGTTGAAAATGGGGACCTGATGAAGCTGAAATCTATCTTGAAGCACCCTGTATAAAAGCGGCTTACATGGCATTAGCAAATGACCGTTTGGTTCCTAGTGTTCAATGTACTTAGATAATTTTTGTTCATAGTGCAGATAAGACGAGTATTATTGTAATTGTGCCAGTACAAGGATACCATGGATGTCAACCGGATGTCGTGAAAATTAGTGTTTTAAATTTTATTTAGTGATAATGAATCCGTCCAGAAAGAAATGGATCGTACCTGACGAAAATATATATGAGCAGTCAAAAAAGGTGGCCAATAAAAGGTGAAAAAAAATCATGTAACGTGTAAATTGCAGTACCATCACAAAGTAAATATTGATCTCCTGTATTACGTGTCGTACCTTACCATTGAAGTATAAAGTAAGTAAAGTGGTTATTCCAGGTAATGCACTTATGTTTTTGAAAAAGATCAAGGTCAGCTCTACACCAACAATTTTGAAAATTTTTAAAATTATGAAAATGATGAAGCTGAACGTGAAAAGATGGAATGAGTTTGAGAAAATATTGTATTTTGAAAATTTTCAAATATTCAAAGGAATTTATCAAGGTGCAAATTTGGATTATTTTGAAAACTTTTGAAGATTTTGATTTTGAAACTCATTCGTTCTTTTCACGTTCAGCTTCTCCAGGAATTACTGCCTGCTGATCAGCTCAAAAAAATTTTCAGAATTTTGTAAATTTTGGAAAGTTTGAAAATTTGGAAAATTTTGAAAATCTGGAAAATTTTGGAAATTTTGAAAATTTTGATAATTTTGAAAATTTTGATAATTTTGAAAATTTTGAAAATTTTGAAAATTTTGAGTATTTTGATTATTTTGAAATTTTTGAAAATGTTGAAAACTGAAAATTTTGAAAATTTTGAAAATTTTTAAAATTTTGAAATTTTGAAAATTTATTTGAGCTGATCAGTAGGCAGTAATTCCTGGAGAAGCTGAACGTGAAAAGAACGAATGAGTTTTAGAAAATTCAATGTCGTTGGGAGAGAAAAATTGCGATATAATTGTGGAGGGGGGGTCATTTTCACCTATTTGAAACGCTTAGGTTTTTTGTAAAAGACAACTATTAGGACGTCTAGCAAGACACGTGATCCAAATTTCATCAAATTTGACTATCGGTTCCAAAAGTATCTGAATAAATGTGTTTTAAGAAAAATTTTACTGAAAAATGAAGCACTTTTGCATATACATCAATCATGATTTTGAGTCTAAAAAGACGTGGTACATCTATGGTAAGGAATATGGGGACACCCTGTATAATAAGACTACTAGATTCCATGAACTCTGCAAATTTAATGCGCTTATAAAAAAAGCGAAAATTATACTTCAGTTGTAAAACTATCAAAGCGGTGAAAGTCACAAATGATTCGGAAACATCTTAATGTTACGCCAGGTGAGTTCACAGTTCATTATTTCTCCGTTTTTCTCTTAATAAATCTCGAATCCTCATCTCGTAATTGCGAAAAAAACATATCCTTTATTATGGACACATTTTTTGACTTAAGCTCATAAAATACTAAAATTTTATATGCATAGCATTCCTTAGCGTACTGAAAATGATCAATATCAACGTTGATCTTAAAATTTTATTGTTATTTTTTATCTCTATTGTACTTAAAGGTCAGTTTACTGTTGTAAGGGGTTTAAGTGACAGAAACGTAATTTGTACATTTTTTTTTATTTATATATACTTGTAGTGTAAAACGTGTAAAGATGCTATTTTTATACGATAAAAAAGTATTTAAGAAGTATTTCTGTATATGGCCAGTAGAGACGTGCCTTATGTTATATTTTTTATATTTTTTGCTTTTAATAAAAATGTTTTGTTATCGAATTATCGCGTTTTAATTACCAACATCACCCTCATAAATGCGTCTAGCCAGGAAAAAAGAAGGTAACGTAAAAAAGAAATTGAAGAAAAATACTCGCTATTTATTTGGCACGGCGTTTCAAGTACCAGCCTGTCACATTTTTTGTTTTTAATTACCGCTTGTTGCTGTTCGATCCAAAAGCACGACTCTGCTTATTTCTTGCTATATTTGGGGCTCTCCAAGTCTTTACTGTGATAATATAAACAAGACTACGTACGCAGCTTTGATGGAAATATCGAGGACGTACTGGATGGTTGAATAGACTCGCGGGGTATCAACAGGATTTCAAATACGTTCACAGTAAACCACATCGACCATCGACAACTAGGTTGTTGCTGTCTTTATCGAATTATCGAGTTTTAATTGCCAACATCTCCCTCATAAATACGTCTAGCCGGGAAAACAGAAGGTAGAGGGGGCAATGTGAAAAAGAAATTGAAGAAAAATACTCGCTATTTATTTGGTACGGCGTTTTATGAACCACCCTGTCATATTTTTTGTTTGTAATTACCGCTTGTTGCTGTTCGATCCAAAAGCACGAGTTTGTTTATTTCCTCCTATATTTGGGGCTCTCCAGGTCTTTACTGTGATAATAAAAACAAGACTACGCAGCTTTGATGGAAATATCGAGAACGTTCTGAATGCTTGAATAGACTCGCGGGGTATCAACAGGATTTCAAATACGTTCACAGTAAACCACATCGACCATCGACAACTAGGTGTTGCTGTCTTTATCGAATTATCGAGTTTTAATTGACAACATCACCCTCATAAATACGTGTAGCCAGGAAAACAGAAGTAGAGGGGGCAATGTAAAAAAGAAATTGAAGAAAAATCCTCGCTATTTATTTGGTACGGCGTTTTAAGAACCAGCCTGTCACATTTTTTGTTTGTAATTACCGCTTTTTGCTGTTCGATCCAAAAGCACGACTCTGCTTATTTCTTGCTATATTTGGGGCTCTCCAAGTCTTTACTGTGATAATATAAACAAGACTACGTACGCAGCTTTGATGAAAATATCGAAGACGTTCTGAATGGTTGAATAGACTCGCGGGGTATCAACAGGATTTCAAATACGTTCACAGCAAACCACATCGACCATCGACAACTACGTGTTGCTGTAGTTATCGAATTATCGCGTTTTAATTATTAACATTGCCCTTATAAAAAAGGTACGTCTAGCCAGGAAAAAAGTAGGTAAAAACAGGTAACGTTGTTAAATTATGCATTGGGAAATTTTTTTTGTGGATGACACTACGATCCATTACTTGTTATTGTAGTTTATGATAATGGTTCAGTTAGACTGAAATGAACCAATTTATCTTCTGTCATCATTTACGCGAACTTGCTCACCCACAATTAATGGCCTGTTTACGTCTTCAGGTCAACCCACATCATCGGCAAGTCATTTCTCAGAGACAATAAGGAGTTCCTCTGCCTATAGATCAGTCACAACACACAAGCTTCCCTCAACATCAAAAGATTAGCTAAAAGTTGCCTGGTCATTATTGCGATGTTTTAATTTTTGTTCTATGTGTATACTTATTTGGATGTGTCGAATCGGTATGGGTTGCAGAAAATTTGAAGCAACAGCTGCAGATTTGTGTTTGGGCTTCGTAAATATATAATCATAAGTCTTCGAAGATTCCAGATTTGAATTCATTGAAGACGGAATAATAATCAAAGCCACCGTATATTTTAGAAAAACTGGTATCAAGAGATAATCAGATAAATCTCAGTTATGACCTAAATTTTGCGATGCCACTAACTACTTAGCCTTTTTAAAAAAACCGACACCTTTTATGCTAGCATGTGATACGTGGTGTTCCAAAACTTATGGAGCAAATGAATGGGGGTGATATGAGGGAGCGTTTGCAATCAGAAACATTATATATGTCTTTATCCGATTGTGTTCGGATTTTGAGTTATCGTTATTTTTAAAAAATTGTGGATTATCGCTACTTTTGAGACTGTACTATTTTTTCCTCAAGTTGTCGTTCATTATTTTTCAATCAAATTAACAGGATATGTTTCCAAATGATGTGTCGA